AGCATGTGATGAATTATATAAAGGCATAAAACTATAGTATGTGGAATCACCTTTCCTTAAATTTTGCATATCCAAAATTTAATTCAGCAAACTTTATCAGCTGAGAGGTCTTAGTCAAAGATATGTGTAATGTACATTATGTGTGTCTAAAAAAAAATTCTTCAGCCTTAGGCTAGCCTTTATGCACCTGTGAATCATAGCAACAGGATCAAAAGTCATGACAGCCTAAAAAGATGAAGGCCAGAATATGCAAAGTCAGAATCCTAACTACCAAAGTGCAAAAGTCAAATATGCAGTTAGGATTCAGAAATGAAGGCAAAGAAAAGTAGACAAGACCAATCAGGGAGACATGGGATACACAAGTACCAGGTGGCTTTGGATTTTAAGGTAAAATACCAGAGACATACATTAAAAATGAGGCATCTTCTATGTCTGCCTAGAGGTGTCATGTATTTCCTGCTGAGATAAAGATATTCCTTATCCTGCAGTTGAGAATCAGTAGTTCCCTGTGAGGTGATGGGACATGAGTGAAACTCCCAAATGGGAAAGGTGAGGCCTGAGGACATACTAGGAGTCAGTGGGAAAGTTTGGTTTAATATTTTATTTTGCTTCATAAACATATTTTTCTGGAATGAATTTCTTGGATATATGTAGAAACAGTTATATTTTTATTATAGCTTAGAGCAGCCCTAAAATAATAAATTTATTGTTGGATAATCTACCTAATATTTCTTTTGTTAAATAAATATATTCCTGGAATTGATACTAAGCCAGTATTCAGCTACTATCTAATCATCATCATCGTCGTCATCACCATTTGTCACTTATTAAACACTTCTTACGTGTCCAATATTGTGCCAAGTGCTGTACGTACATTATCTTATTTAATCCTTGCAGCAAACCTAGGAGATGGGTACAACTGTTGTCCACATTTTAACAGATAAAAAACTGGGACTCAGAAGCAATTAGCCCAAAATCACAAACCTAATAATTTACATAGCCAGGATTCATACCAATGATTCAGTCTCTGTCTAGAACCATGTGCTTTGAATAAGTACATTTACCTTTACTACCTCCTACAGTCAAAACTTAGGACTTTTCATTTGAATTTAGATGATATGATAATCCCATGGGCAGAAGCAAAGAAAAATATAATACCTAAACTGCTTTCCTATCCAATAATAAATTGCTTTTAAAGATATAGATAGCAACATGCTTCCCTTTTTTATTAAAAGTTGTAAGAATGCAAAAGATAAAGTTCCCCCAATACAGTATAGTATCTATGGAACAATTTAATAATTTTGAAAAATTTCTTGAAACATCCATTTTTCATATAAATGAAATGTCCCAGAGATACATAAGTAAAATGAAAGACTTCCATTTGTGTTTCAACTTGAGATCAAATTTAGTTTTAATAAATTCTGCAGTAACAAGTAAATGTATGTATATCCAACATTGTCTATGTTAGCCAGTATTTACTGGCTATATATGTGTGTGTGTGTGTATATATATATATATATATATATATATATATATATATATATATATATGTATTTTTTTTAATATACTGGTTAGCACAGATAATGTTGGCTCCATCCATTGAAATGCTATTCTAGGCAATGGACGAAGACATTGTCATTTAAAGTAAATTGGTTTTGATATTTTTAAATGACAGTAGTTTGAAAAAGAATATCATGGGTTAAAGGTTTTCCAAATAAATCCACTGTAAATAAATAATCTTCCTCTAAAATCAAACATAAGGGTTCTGTTTACATGGCTATTTCTGGGGGGGGAGGCAATGATTTTTGGGGGGAATTTAACTGTATTCTTTTGGATAATTAAGAATTTATCTAACAGAGTCAAAAATGAGAGTGGAGTAAGAAAGACCATATCTCACCTAGTTTAAATATATATTTCTAGATTAAGGATATAGCTATTAAAATTTTATGGAGCCCTCAAAATAATTCTTCTATTTTACACTTGAAGCAAAGGATCGGTTATTAGCTTAAAAATGTATAACAAGGTACTGGGAGATCCTGGAGAAAAAACAAACGATCATTTGAATCTGACCTAATGTTTATACTACACCCTATTGCCATTCAACTTTTTTTACCAAAATGTTTATATCGATCTAATGTTTTCAGTGAATTGTTATGCATAAAGGGCTATTTATTAGGTAATGATCATTCAAGTCATGGTAACTGGTTTTATATAAAATAATCATCTTTCTAATGCTTTGTGAAATATGCCAGTATCTATGATTTAAAGGATCTCCATTGTAAAACTGACCAAATAAGGATTTTTCAGCCTTATGTTTAAGTGCATATTAACAAGAAAAATCTATTAGCAGATAGTCTCTTAACACAGCAATAGCCATCAGGTAGTAATGATATAGTAATAATACTGGCTACATTATTTTATATTATGCCAGATACCAAACATCTGTTATCTCTAAATTTCAGAACAGCCCTGCAGAGAAGATACAGTTTTCCTTATTATTTTATAAACAGAGTATTAAAGGTGAAATAATTTGCTCAAGATCACCCAGCTAGTATGAGTTTTCCTTACTCCAGGTTTTTCAGACTTCAAAGTCTATTCCTTTTTACGTCCCACATGTCATTAACATAAAGCATTTATGATGATTTTCAGTTTACCAGAATATTTGAACACCCAGAACACGCTGCACCCTGGCTGTGTCAGATAACCATCTAATTATTTCAATTCCAGGAAGTTTGTACCCTTGTAAATAATAATGACTTTTTTTAGTATTTCTAGGATTCATCAAAATTCCAGCAACTACTCAGAAATTAAACTTTCTCTTTTCTCTTGGATTTTCTTTTTTAAAAAGTTAGTGTTTTAATAAGTAGATTTTGTATTATCTCTAGGTTATCAGTGAGGCATCATGGATTAAAGAGAAAATTGATGCTATTAAAATTGGTTTTTATAAGTTACAATGGCAACTTCATCATACTTTTTTTTTCAAACTTTATTCAGAAATAAAAAAATTCTGCTCCCTAATATTAAGCCAAATGTTTGTTTCCCAGATTTTACCTAAATGTTCTTCCCTGAGGCCATTGCTGTTGTGAAACTGTTTTAATGGCCTTCATTGGGGTGTGGTGAAAATGCTCTAATTGCCTTTGCTGAAAACAAAGGTTTCACATAAATTGAATTTTTCTTTTAGGATAATTGCCATTCACTTTTGTTTCAAATGCAACTGAGTGGGGTTTTGCAGTATCCTCTGTGGACAATTAAAGTGCTGAAATAGGAGAAGCGAATAATTGCTTTGTGTGGTAATACTGACAACTTCTGCGTGTTTGTCAATCTGTGTTAACAGTATCGATCAGGATGGGATCCTCATAGAGGGGCAGATAATATTTCCACTAAATCTTCGGACAGTGATGTAAGTGATATATCTGCGGTTTCAAGGACTAGTAGTGCTTCTCGTTTCAGCAGCACAAGCTACATGTCTGTCCAATCAGAACGGCCAAGAGGAAACAAGAAGATCAGGTGAGTAAGGGGATATTAGCAGGAAATTTTTCTGAATGTATTTTAGAAGATCTTTGTTTTTCTTCGGGTACATATGAAATCCTTCATTTCTAAAAGGGTAATATATGTCATTAATGCAATAAGAACTTACTTTTTGTTATACTTTGGTCTATATTTCAAACTTCTTGCCCAGAAAAGTTTTATAGAACTTAAAATAATTTTCTTGCTAGATAATTTGAAATAATATCATTAGTTTTTTGTGTGTGTTATTTAAAAGTATTTTCTATTACTATATCTTTACTGAAATAAAAGTATTGGATAATGAAAACTTATATTTTTAATGTTCTAAGGAATATGAAAAATCATACTGTAGAGGGTTTTTTCCCCCTAGTTGAATAATTTCAGTGATTCAGAAAACATAAGAACATTATTTTTTTAGTAGGATACTGTCTCATCCTCCTGAAACTTCTGTAAATGCCTGGGAAAAGTAATCATTTTCTCAAGAAAATTTATAAATGTATGTTAGTATAAATTTCATTATCACCTAACCTATAGATTTTTATGGGTATCTGAACTAAGTTTTTTTTTATTCCTATTGGATCAAAAAAAATCTGTAAGGGAGAGCCCACAACCTTTTTCATGCAGCTTTGTAACAGGAAAATATGACTTAAAAGCAATTATGATTAAGTGTTGCTTACACAGTGCTTCTCTGATATACAGTGGGAAAAAGTTTTCAGTGCTTAAAAGATACAATTTTTATTAATGCTTTAGTAGTTTTCATTACTTTTCTAATTAATCTTGTGTGCTTTTTTTTTTAACTCTTTCTTTTTTTGTGTTTATTTGCATGCCTTCAATTTGTGTTGCTTTCAAAAGGCCAAAGGGAATAGAAGAGGGAGGGAAAGAAGGGGATAAGCATGAAGAGATAGTTCATGAGGAGGAAGAGGTAAAGGAAGAAAGAATTAATGAGAACGAGAAAGGGAAAGAGATCACAAAAACATGTAATAAGGAGAAAAACAGAGAATCAGAAGACGAGGGAAAAACACAAGATATACCTAAGCAAGGGAAAGAAAAAGAACAGTGGAATAAAGAGGATTTGCAAAAGCAATTCTCACAAGATGACGACAGGTAAAATTTGCTTATTTTTGTAGACATTTACCATTAGTAACATTGTCCTTTTTCCTACTCCTAAAAACTATTTTGCCATTTACATTTGGTTTATTTTCTTGTGTTGTATCTATTTAGCTTCTAACACAACTAATTCATATGTTGGCAAATTATTATCAGGTTGATTTGTTAAACAGTCTTCAGTTTGTATAGACTAGTTCTGAAGTCTGATTTATTGGGTTTTCAAGTTCTTTTTGACTAGGTAAATCAAAGATAAATTTCCCTTCAGTTCTTTTAGCATGAATTACTATGCATTTTCCCCATTTGTAGACTCAAAACCTTTAAAATGAGATTTTGGAAGGGGCTGAAAAAATTTAGCCTGCTTTCTGAGAAATATTATATACTGGAAATGAACTTTTAAAATGAGTGGCAAAATAGATAGCAGAAAAAACAGGCTTTATTCAGTCTCTGAATAAAGAAAAAGGGCAAGTCCCTTGCCTCGTTATGGTTTTCTGGTGGATTCTAGTGCAGTTTTGTAAGGAGGATTGTGAAGCAGAAACTGCTTTCTGAAAAGAAAAGGTAGATGCCCCACAGCTTATTAGAACACAAACATGCTGAGTTAGGCCCCTCTGGAGATTCATTTAGCTACAGAAACTGCCGAAGAAGGAACTTTAAACAGGGGAGAAAGGGAAAAAACATAAGCAGCAAGGCATGGAACCAACTAAGTTTTCATTTTCATAACACAATGCACGAAGTAAGTACGAAGCCATCGTTACAGTCCTGTACTGAAAGTCAAGTCAGCACAGGTACGGAGTAGATTTCACCTTTCTGTCTGAGGAGATGAGATTTCTCTATTTGCATTTATTTGAGACTGAGAATTGCCAATTGTGTACATGTAGGAGGAATTTGGTTTTCTAGTAGTCAATCTAGAATTTGATTTTGTGTTAGAATGAACTTGGTATAGTAAATACATCCTATTATAAGCGAAATACTGCTTTATTATACCTAAATCCAATCACTATGTGTGCTTTACTCAAAATCAGTGAGAAAGATAATTGGGATAAATGTTTACCCCTTGGGTATACAGTTCAGTGGTTTAATTCTATGACACTTCCCTTTTTGTCTCAGATTGGTATATTTATATCTGTGATCTATGAAGGTTTCTATGTAACAGACATGAAATCCAAAAGTGAATATTAACTTAAATATATTTGGTGATTTCAGCCTAAACTAGTAATTTCAAGTCTGTTTGTTGTTTATCTTGATAATTATATTGGTTTATTAATGAAGGCCGTTTTTCTGATTTATTGACATAAGGTCATTTCATCATTAATTCACAGAGAAAGCTTTCTAAGGTTTCTTTGGAAAGAGACATAGAGCTTCCTTTTTTCCAAAAGCAGAGCAAAATGGGAGCTTCTAATGTGTTTTCTTTTTTATAAACTGTGTAGAGAACACAGGAGCCCCTTGGTGTTTGCCTGGAGCCAAAAGCCTACGTTAGCATACCTAGCATGGAGAGGAGAAGTTTGGAGATGATTACAACCTTAAGTTCTTGATTTTTAGTATTACTTTCTTTACCATTTTCCTCTTGAAAAGAGCACATTATTCTACACAGAAAAGGGAAAGATGGTTCACTCCTAGCAACGAGTCATCAGGGCGCTGTGCTCTGCTTGCAGTAACTGTATAATACCTCCAGAACTGTAAACCCCAGGGGACCAGGCTAATGACTCTAGGGAAATACATTCCATAAGATGGCAAAAAATATCCACTACAATTTGTGAGAAAATGTTGGTGTTGCTAATTAATTATTTCAGGATAGGATCTTGAATTTACTTTCATTTCTCAAAATAAAATGAACTGTCTTTATTCTGAGGGAAATGATGTCTAAGTGCTGCCAATAACATTTTGTTTTGGTAGTTGATGAACACAATCACAGATTATTTAAATGCTGAAAACAACTTATATGCTTGTACAATAGTATTGGAAATAATCTTATTCTATAAATACACCACTGATGTTTACTTGTAATCCAAATTTTGTAAAGGAAAGAAATTTCTGACTTCAGAATTTAAGTGTTTATAGCAATGCTAGTACACTTAAAATTAACAAAGTGACTACGATGAACTAAAGCCATTTTAGTTGCTATTTTTGTTACAATAATTGGCTCTCATTGCCTGATGCAGAATTTTATTGTTTGTATTATAGTAAGCCTATTAAAGCAAGTCTTCTCAGTGTACAAGTGGGAAATGAAAGGCAAAAAGTAAATTCAAAAAAAGTGCATTAAATATTCAAATATAATATTTTCAAAGTTGATTAATAAATAATACATTCATATTTAGCTATTTATATTTACACACATGTATATTAGCATGGTTAAATGCCCCTATACCACTAATGATTATTTGATAATAATTTCTAGAAAATCCAAAATCATAATTACCATTTAAAATATTTTTTCTCACTCTGTGAATATGGATATGCTTTAAATTTTATATCTATGTTTGCTGATTATATACCAGAGATATGTAGTAAGCTGACTCAGAAAAAAAGTGTTTAGAGGTAAGGAACAATCATTCATTCAGCCAGTATTTATTTTAAAAATTTCTCAGTCAATGTACTATGAACTGGGGATAGAAATGAAATTAAGCATGTCTAAACCTCTGATTCTGAGGGTGAAGCAGTTTCTTAGCCTTGTGTGGATGGATGTTTAAGAATAGCTCTTTATCCAAAAAATGTCGTCAAGCTGTCTAAGCAAATTCATAAGAATATTTGATGAATGAATTTGGTACACAAGATGCGATCTTAAGTAAATCTGCAGCAGAAGTTAGAAAAACAAATATTGAAAAGTGTAGCATTGTCAAAGCCAACAACAGTGGTAGCTTTGTGCTCAAATTACTCATTCCCCGAGGTTCTGTTCTGGGCATATAAGAGAAAAAAAAAAAAATTCAGGAAACTAATTATCTATAAATTTTTAGTTCTCAGACATGCCTATAAATGGTATGGAATTATATTTTCTCTTTTTAAAAGAAATGTTTTTGAGATAGGGAAATTTTTTAAAGGAAAGAGATGGCATCACTTCAAATATTAATGAATAGCTGTTTTTAAAAGACTTAAGTCATCTAAATTAGTAGCAAAAGTTCTTATAGTCTGTAGAAGGGCAAGAAGAATAATTGTTAATGAAATATTTATTACTGCTAACACAGGAATCAGAGTTACAGATCATAGTTAAAATGTGATAACACTTTTTCCTGGCTTTTTAAATAAAACTTGGTGTGTACCGCATATTTACGCCTGTGTTATATAGATCTTTAAAAGGGAAGCAGTATATCCCATGCAAATAATTAAGGATTCGGAACCTAAAATAACTGGATTCTCGTTCTGACTCTGTCACGTGTCCCTACCCACTTTGGCTGGGGTGTTTTTGCTTGTCACATAGAGGAATGGATGGTTTACACTCTTTTTCATAGTTTAGATGAATGTAGCACACAGGCAAACAGGAAAGTAAGCATCTTTCTGTTACGTGGAAGATTTGTCTTTATTATCATGAACTCAAAGAAATAATCGGGACTGTGACTAACCACCAGTAGGACAAACAGCTCAACACGTTTCTGTCATTTGGCAGATGTTTCCAAAATTTAGATGACCATTTGTAATGTTTTACTGACCACTGAGTTTCTTTTGTTTTGTTTTTTGGAAGTATGTCTCAGTGCTGACCCATCCCCAGGGCATTATGCTGTTCCCACTGTTGTATTACTGATGGCTCATGTCTCCCCTTTCTCCTTGAAGCTATCTTCTGGTTAATACCACTGACGATCTTACAAGCTCAAGTAATGCCTCTTCTGTTTTATGATTGTGCACAAAAAGGGAACTTTTTAAAAACACGTGAATATCACTCTTAGAATTTTGATACTGTGAGGGCC